ACTTTGTTCACGTCGAGATATATTTTGAATGTTTTGTATGAAAAGAATGGATAATTGGTGTATAATTTCTTAATCTATCGCGTTGCTTATTCATAGTATTATTCATTTATTAGCAACCATGTTGAAATCTCTCGTGGACATCACGTATCTACGAAGTCAATTTTTATTGACTCACTAAAATTAAATTTAAATACTTTTAAATATACTAAATATAAATGTAAATGAACGAGAATAAATTCTTTACAAAAAAATCAATAGAAGTTAAACATAAATATCATATAAAACAAAGTGTAAGAAAACAAAAAATATAATATTTCAATATGAATAATTAGTTTTTCTTTTTATTGCTCGATACCAATTTTGAATGATTACAATTGAAGTATAATTTTCTATTAAAGGTATTAATCTTTGGTCAAATAATATACGTATACGTGATGGTACAGCAAATTTTGTTGCACGCGGAAACAAACCAAAGAAATTTAATTTCAATTTAGCAACTATGTTAGTCCCCGATGATAAATTACGCGTCGAATTTTATACGATACATCCGAAGAAAAAGCGAAAAAAATTGATTGCAATTTTTGAACTAATACTTGAATGTTTAATTGATTCAAAATATATTGATTTATCTGAAGAAAATTTATCTGATCCAAATCATTATTTATTACAATCAACTGTACAACTTAAAATTTATTATACACCACCAGATATTGATAAACAACTTGCTGCATTAGGTTATGGTAATACAATTGAATTGATCGATTGGAGAAGTGTGTTTGATGAGGAAGGACGACATGGTGGCCATCGATATAGACATGTTCATTCAAAACATGATGGTCGATTGTAACTATTTAAATGAATACCAATCAATCCATATTTCTGTGTTTCTATTATAGGACAAAATTTCGTACAAAATTAGCCGGTCGTGCAGATGATGCTGATACTGATTCATATAGTGATGAGGATTTTGAAGAATCACAAGATTCTGAAAATAAAATTGGACCTGTTGATGAAAATACAAAAATAAGAATGCAACATAATGATTTAGAATTATTAGAAAAAGGGTAGCAAAAAAAAAGATTTAATTTTTATACTAAACAATTTTTTCTATGATTTAAATTAAATATTAGTTTGGGTCGATATATCGGCGATATATATGAAGTGACCGAATGGCAAGTTATGATACATGTTTTACA